TGAAGAAAATAGTCATGGAATAATATGGGTGTTCTCTCTCATAAGGTTACAGACTTGCCGTGAAAAAACAAAATGAGACAGGTAGCATAAACTTTAAATGGTGTGCTCCTCTACAGGATGATTCCATTTTTTTACTTTTAAAGACCACCTACTTCCATCATAACACATCATTCATCAGAAATTTTTTCACATATAGCATAATATACTATATACCCACATAGATTGATATTAAACAACCAGAGATAGCTAGTTTATCTGCTACCTTATAATTGTGTATGGAACACCAGAGTCGGCCAAATACTGCTCAGCCTTTCTCTTCCAAACCTGAAACATTATAGAGTGAATTAAGTTGGACTTGTGATGGCTCAAAAATAAAAACAAATTAATGAAAGACAGAAGACATAAACAAAGATAAGTCCTCCAACAAAATGAAAGAGAACTATCTCTCTAGAATGCAGAGTGGAAGGCTCACACACAATGGACTTAAAATTTGAGTTGTTCATTTTAGAAATAATATAGAAAAGGATCACGAACCAGTATATTCCCATTACCCAAACTGTTCAAGGGATGATTTAGGTTTGTTCCACCCATAGATCCAACCAGCACAATTTGCTTAACTCCTGCGGCCTTGGCTGTTCACACAAATCTAATTCAGCAAGAACATAATAGATATACAAGGAAAGAAAATGGAATCACATGCAAGAGGGGACGACGGTCTCACCAGCATCTATTTGATTTTTCTGACCAATCCAGTCAACCTAAAATGAAAAAATCTAGCATCAAATAACATCAAGATCGAGAAACCAGTGAAGTATCAAGATCCAATTATGAGGAAAGAAAAAGAGGATTACCTGCTCAGGAAATGCTCCATCTTCAAAATAGAACTCAGGCCTGCCTTTGGATGGATCAAACCCAGGTTTCATCTTTGGCACTGCACTTGTCAGGATGATCAGAGAATCAATTCCTTGGATCGCAGGAATGATGCTTTCGGATTCCCTTATATCCCCAACAAAAACATCCTCAGCTCCTCCAATTTTCTCCTTGCTCTCTTCAGTTCTTACCAAACCTCTTGCAACATACTGTTCAGACCTCTCCTTCAGTTTCTTATAAACTATGGAACCTGCCAAAGGTGTCTAGATCAAATCAAGGGAACTACACACATTCATATAGTGACAAACAATTCATAGCAGTTAACTGTTTTCCAAGACATAATTGCAGGAATCCAGATTTCCACTAACCCAATTGGCTTTGTGGATTTCATGTTGTTTAACATTAGGGAAAAATATTTTTGGTTCTGCTTTCTTTGCAAATATTTCATAGACATTGCATTTGGAGATTTGAAAATCACAAATGTCATTCAACACAGCATGGAAAAGGGGAACAGAGTAAAATCTTCATGCAAAACTAAATTAATTTAAGAGCACTTATAGATGATCGCACACCATAATAAAACCTAAAAAACCTCAATCGCCTAAAATGTTATGCAGAAGCATCACCTCATTCATTTTGAACGCAAAATCTTTGCTGTAAAATATTAGAGAATTCAATATATAAAACACTGGTTGCATTATCCCAAAACATATCTTTACCTCTAAGCCACAAACTGATAATAATAATAATAGTAATTATTATTATTATTATTATTATAATGATGATGTAACAGTGAAGAAAAGCATAATCTTTATTTTATTAACCTTCAAAACAAAACCTAGGAAACCCCAGATCCCAAAACCACCCACCACACACAATTCCTAAATTTTCCAACTCTTAGAAAGCTCTGAATTTCAAAAGTTCCCAGAAAATGCACCTGATTCTTTTTTCTTTTAAATACAATTATCCTTAGCCCTTTTCATTTCCAGAGCTATCCCAGTAACCAAACAGAGAACATATATAAGAAAACAGAGAGCGAGAGAGATCGTACCAGTTCTGCCACCAGCTCCAGTGACAAGGACAATGCTTGGAGCCATTGAATTTGAAGCTAATACAGCGAACCCTGCTCTCCTTATGCGCGTTGTTGTTGTCAGTGACGAAGAAAATGAGCTATGACTACTGCTACCTAAAAAGTGTACGGCCGATTGTGAAGCACACCCCTTTTTATTGTTAGGAAAATGACCGGAGAAAATCAATGGAACACGTGTCACGGTGACGGTGGTTGTCATTATGATTTTATATTACTAGAACTGGCTTTGAGACGTTGAGTTTGTTTCCATCGGAGAGCAGCTCAATTAATTATTTTGGGCCGTTAAATTGTTTGTGCTTGTTGCCGACCAAACCCTTTTCCTTATCCTTTACTTCGGTAGCTGTTCGTTTCTTTCCTTCAGAGCCAATTATTCTTTAGTCCCTCTTTCTTGAAGATATTATAACTTAGTACCTTCTGTTTATAAATCTCATAAATTAGTCCCATCATTCTTGTTGATTGTCATCTTGTTGAGGTATTCGTTGGTTTTTTCTAATTATTTCCAAATCTGATATCTTGCTTTTTTGTATTATAAGAGAGGAACCTCAAGTTAAGAATAATAAATAATAACATTAATCACTAAGTTATAATTACATTAAAAAACAGGGACTAAAGAATAATTTACTCTTTACTTTTCAACAAACTCATCTTATCATTATTTTGGGGGCGGGGGAACGTAAAATCAACGTGACTTGTGGTCTTCTTGCTGCCACATCAACACCTATTTTAATTCACAGTTGCTTTTTTTTTTTTAATCATTAAGTAATTGCTATAAATCATTACAATCATTAAGTTCTGATTATGAGTTTATTTTTATCAATCCGTCTAGTAGCACTAATTATCATCATTACCATTGTATTTGCTTTGACTATTACATACAAATCTATGAGAGATCCATTGTATTTACTATATTTAAAATAATTTTTTTATGCATATATATACAAATTATTTTTATATCTAATTTAAGTTAGTTTATTATTATTATTATGGGAATATAGGCATTGCATTTTTGTCTTCTTTATCCAATGTTTTTTTTAAAAAAAAATGGTTGTTTGGATTAATTTTTATTTATTTTAATTAATTATAAAAAATTTAAAATTAACAACCATGTAAATTTTCAGTAATATTGAGAATATTCATTAAATAATAAATTTAAAATATAACCAATTGAAATACTTTTTTTTTAGAATTAGTGTGTGTTGTCTGTTTTGTACCAATAGAAGTTATCAGGCTCTAAATAACGTAAAATTCTAAAAGTGATTGATGAGAATTTAAGAGGTAGCCGAAAGCTGTTTGCTTCAGTTGTTTATTGCCGATGCTTCTATTGAATTTTGAGTCCAATTGTTGATCTCTCCTTTCCAATATTTCTGTCCTGTTGTATAGTTAATAATTCTGCTATATTTTTAATTCATAGTTATTTCAGGTTAGGAGTTGTCTCCCTTGATTCAAATTTCACTATCAGATGAATCTCTTCCTCTTCCGGTTGCATTTGGACTTTGTTCCCAAGATATCAGTCCTTCCCTGCAGTTTCTTATGCTCTCACAAATTTTCTTAAGACTTATTTCATTCGCTAACGACTAAACAAGGTTCATATGATGAAAATAGAGTTTTGACTGATGATCAACGGATCCAATTGTTAAGATTCGATGAAAATCAATAGAAAGGCTAAATATAGATTAAAATAGTAGACAGAAAGATGGGATTTATACACAAAACAACTCTGAATTAAGGGTTGGAGAATACACGCCATCCAAAATGATCAAAACGAGATTGATTTCCAATCTACGGTTAGGTATTGTCATCAATAAAAGTTAGGAGAAATTCAATTCAGTACAAATTCTATATATATATATATATATTCTCAATCAAGTCTTTTCGTGAATGTTTATCAACATGTTTCTTCAAGTTCTCTTCAAATTAATGTCTATATAGTGCAAAAAGATGCATATTAGACCGAAAGTGATAATGCTCATTAGATTTCAAGCTACTAAATAAAACTGGGAAAAAGGCATGGTGGAGACATATACATACTTCTCCAAACGCCTAAAACCTAACATAACCATCTATATAAATCCATTTTCAAATCCTAAAATATATTTTCTAAATAACAAAATCCAAATCAATTCAAGAATCTTTGCCAAACCGAACAGAGTGATATCTACAAGTGAACTAACCCAACTCAGAAAAATTACTTTCGGTAATTCAATGAAAAATGATTATTCATCATCAAAGCATTGAAGATGAGTTAAGGGTATCTTAAAGATTGCAATTGTGGTTATGATTCAAAGTGTTAAGGGTATCTTAAAGATTGCAATTGTGGGTATGATTCAAAGTGTTTTTTATTTAAAAATATATAAAAATAATATTTTTTTATAAAAAATTATTTTTATATCAATATATCAAAACAATCCAAAAATACTAACAAATATTAATTTTAAATAAAATAAAATAAAAATTAAAACCTGAGTTATACTGTATTTCCAAATAGACTTATAACCATGTAACTTCATCTGCAGTCAGGTGAGACTCAACCATCCTGGCCCGGGGTATCAACCTCACAGCTAGTTTGAAAGAACTCCAGTTATGTTCTCTGGCTTCATCCACCTATTATGCTACGGAAACACCAAAATATGTTACTTTACACAATCAGGGGAGGACCATCCAGCATATCCATGGCTACTTGAATCCTGTTTGGTAGCATCTTTACAGCATCAAGGTCGTTCCCAGATTGAATTTGTTCTGTAGCAACTTCACAAAATCAGTGGACCATCCGCTCGTGCAAGGATGCAAATTGCTGTCATTAGAAACTTTACTCCTTAAGCTTGCTTCGCCTAAAAGCTTCACAAGTTTCTTGTTTCTTCTAATCTATCTTATCGGCAGTATTTGAATAATGCGAGAAACCCGTATCTTAATTGGCACTAAACTAGTTAAACAAAGTCATGTTCCAGCAGTATCTTGAGCATAGTATCTGTTACTAGATCATGTCTGGATAACACTGCACCTAACGGCCTTTATATTTTATTATTCTTGCACGATAAACATTGAGTTCCAAGCTTGAATTAATGATTGAAAATTAATTATGGCTACTGTGATGAAGGCGTCCAAAAAGAGAGGAGAGACGATTGACATTGGCATGTGTGGCACCGAAAGACAGCCAAGAAAAGAGGCATCCCTCCCCTCCCACGTCTTTTATTAACAAATTTACGATAAGAACGAAACATCTACATCGTTTAAACATGAGATAGAGAAATGAGGCTCGTGAGATCCCACATCATTGTTTTCCTTCTTTTCCCTGTCTAATAAGGACAACATACATCTAATCTAAGCTGTGACAGGTGTCTCCACTGTAACCTTGCCAGGATAACCAACTTCTGATTTAATGTCAGTTTCCCAAAGCTCTGGCAGTGCTTGCCTGATGTTGTGAATGCTTTCTAATGCAAAATCTGCACCTTTAACTCTTTGCGAAGAGCCAACCTGCATTCATTTAACCAAATTACATGAATCAAACTCAATTATTAAGTTAGAGAGGAGAATAAAAACAATTTAGTTGCAGTGTCAGATACTCAAGCAATGAATAACCTGTATTGATGATGAGTTTCAAGGACTTACCAGAACAGTCTGGAGACCCACACGTTTTCCAGCCTGTATATTCCGGACACTATCATCAAAGAACAGCTGGGGGAAAAAAGCAGAGATTTATGACATTATTAGTAAATTACTACATCAATAATAAACCCGTAAGATCAAAACTTTTGAATCTTGAAAGCTATTACTTACAGTTCTCTGAGGATTAATATTGGCTATCTTGAGAGCGCGTTCGATGGCAGCCTCAGATGGTTTGCAGACAATAGGTGTCTTCGGTAATACCGAGTTGGGGTTTGGTTGAGCAAAATGTCCAACAATGTCAAAAATTTCAGGAGCACTAGTTGTAGTTGTGTAAGAGCCATTAGTTGTAGAGGGAGTAACAACTGATCCTACAAATTCTATGTCATCCTCATCATCAGAAACAGTGTTCTTATGGGTAGGATTCAGAGTCTCAAAGCAAATGATCCCTTCAAAACAGTCTTCTAAGCCAAGCTTTCTAAGAACTTTACGAGCATGTACCTTGTCTGCATTTGTAAAGATCTGTTTTGCACAAAATATTGAGAGGGATCTCATAAGGAAATGGATTGCCTCTGAAATGCTAGTTAACTGATGATGATGACAATGAAATACTTACGACTTTTCGAATTGGCAAGCTAAGCAAAAGACCTCTTAGAACAGGGTCTGGTTTTAGGTTCTCATAAGGCAATCTTCCATGAACGAAACTGGCAGACACGAAAATTACCGGTTAATCAACCGTATTGAATGCACATTTTTGCTAGGCAGAATCTATTTCAATCAATAAGACCAGTTATCAATAACAACAGAAAAGGAGGGATGTTACTACCTGTGGTACTCGTCATAGTCAAAGTCATAGCCAATTGCCTGCAAAACAAGAACCACCCAAAATCATTCCATTAAAACGGTCCTCTCAGATTTAAGAGGGATGTCATGAGGAGATAAGAAGTTCAAATCCCATACCCTGAGGCCAGCCATTGTTGTCCCATAATTCCTGTACAGAAGGTTACCCAACTCAGTGAGTTTGCTCTCCTCTATGCCCAGCCTTTCGACCATATAATCTACGGAAGGACACCGATGTTAGAATTAAGATATCCTGACTAAAGAAAAGTCGGTAGCATCCAGAATAAACAATCCTAAAAATTTACCTTTAATATTCTTGCCACATGCGGCTGCGATGCCGGAACTAAGGGGATAAAGGGTATCATCAAGATCTGCAATTCCAAGCAAGATAGTCAATTAAATGCTCTCAGGACATATTAGACTCTGTAAACCAAATGTCTAGAAATGAAAGGCTTACCAAACAGAAGGCAGCTATATTTTGGCGTTTGTGCCTGCAAGTAGCGTTCGTCGTACTCCATTTTTATCTAAGAAACCTTGAAAACACACAATAGAAAGTTGTGAGTACTAACCTCCACGATATCTTAAACCTGCCAAAGCTAAGATGAAGATTCAATTTATATCTGAAATTATAAATTCTCATTGGTTATGGCCTGGGGAAACTTTTTAAGGTCCTTATCAACTCCTTTGAGCACCACACGTATTGAAAGAAGGGTCTAGTCAAGACTCTGGATGGGTGGAGAAGTCCATGACCAATCCCAAGTAGTTAAGATAATAAATCCTCGTTGTTCATGAGTGGACATTACACAACCACAAGAACAAGATATACATGAATGATGAGTGAGTGGACTAGTAAATTAGGCTAGAAGTTCTGTGGCAACCTCTTAAAACTATTGACATTGAAAAGGCATAAAGTCCTCCTGATCAGAAATTTTATAGCCAACTTCATATGCTGTAACCCTTCCTCAGTATCATCACACTTGATAAAAACGTACAACTCATACTACTTTCTTAAGAGTTGAATTAAAAGTCTATGCGGTTCACAGAGAGCCAATGAGTTAAAAAGCAAATGCTAGAAAATAAGAAAAACTGACTCTATTAGAAAGGGTTACCGGAAAAGAACTGAAAAATCCATTTTTATCCATCGCAAGAAAGTTCACAGCTTTTCAAGATCACAGAACTCATTGTGAAACCAAAACCAGTTCTTTGATATTTGGTATGTTATCAGTCTTGGAGGGAACAAAAATGTGGATTGTTACGAAATCATGAAAATAAAATTCTTCCTAAAATCAACAAACATCAACCCAGAATTCTGGGGTTCTTAAACAAGAAGAAATACAAGAGGCTCATGTCAAATGAAAGTTAAATTTCATCAGTGAGATGCCAGAATCTTAAAGAGAAGCAAAGAAAGGAAGACTAAGACTGAGGAATGTCATTATCATACCTCTGTATGAAATTTCTGGTTGTAATGAGAAGAAGAGCAAATGGAGCAGAGAGAGATTGAGAAGCAAAGGAAGGGAGGAGGAAGAGGGGGAGGAAGAAGAGGAGCAGAGACGGGTTTATATAGGAAAACCACATTGCCCCTCTCTCTTTGATTGCATTTTTAAATTGATTTTTGATTAATTTAATCCCAAAAAAAAATAGAGTAATCATTTGAAAGGTGGTTGTACTTTCTGCATTTCAAAGAAGGAGAAGGCTTCACGGCTCCGACATAAGAAGATAGTAGTACTTTTGGTTACAAACTTAAGAACAGAAACCTAATACTGCGTGCAGGGTAGCATTTTCTCGGTTTTTCAAGTTATACCCTTATTTTATTTTATTTTTATATAAAAGAGTAATATAAAATCATTTTATACCTTACCTAATAATTTTAAATTTTAAATTAAAATCATTACCACTCTTTAATTAAGTTTTTGGTTAAGATAATTTTATAACAATAAGTAAATTAAGACCTAATCAGAGAGGATTTCTACATGTAAGAAAAAACCAAACCTTTCACTACTCATAGAACAATCTGCTTAAATTATACTTAACCTGGCATTGCTTCTTTTTTTCTTTTTTTTCAAGGATATTGAAAAATAAATTTCATTTCAAACAAATTTATTCTTTTAAATATTAATCCTAAAATGTAACCGGGAAATCAAGAAAGGGATTGCCTTGCCATTACCATTCTTAATACATTATAATAGAAGCTTCTAGATTAAAAATCTTAAAAATACTACTATAAACTTCTTGCTTCCTTCACAAATGGACATAAATAATTTTGCAAGATAACCAGTTGTCATCCTAAATGAGCCCAAATAGTTTTAAACTAGATTGGTACTAGGCCAAAAATGTTAATGTTCTTAACATATAATAAAATATTTAGACACCGCGAGCATATTCTCACAAGGAAGAAAAATGTACCCTTCTTATATAACTATAAAAATTAATCATGATGAAGGCATAAAAATAATTTCTAAAATAACATTTAGAAATTTATCTTTAATTAATTTAAAAATATTTTAAAAAAATATCAGTAAACATAATATTAAAATAAAAAATAAAAATAAAAAAATCTACTCATTAAAAAAAGATAAAATGCAACCCTAATAAACTTAAGTTATTCATTTAAATACATAACTTGGCTTATAGTACGAGAACATTATATAAAAATAATAAAAAAATATAATATTTAATTTTTAATTAATTTAATATTAAAAAATAAAATTAAAAAAAATATTAAAAACATGACAAAACCTTACCATAAATCGGTTAAAGTTAGCTTACCAAAATTAAGATTTGGATTGTGAGACCGGTATAACATAAAAAAATTTATAAAACTTAATTTATAAATAATTTAATATAAAATAAAAAAAACAAAATAAAATTGTTGAACCGGCTAAATTTTTTTTTAATTAATTAGTAATTATCAATAAAATTATGGGAATAATAATATATATTATTTTATTCCAAAAACTTTATTGATAATTTTGAATTAATCTAATAAATTAAAGAATAAATTTAAATGTATAAGTATTAAAAATAAAATAATCCTAGTTTTTTCTATTAAAAACTTGAATATTTTTAAAAAATAACTAACAATAACAACGTGCTATTTTCTCATATTATTCTTTTGGTATTCTAGTTCCCAAAGCTTTTTGTTTTTTTTTTTAAAAAAAAGAACCCCAGTATTTCACTACGAATGCTGTAGCTAATTTATCACGTGCCAAAATGTTAGATTATTTTAGGATCACAGCTGTATAAAAGGGCAGGAAAAGAAAGGGAATAATTCTCGTGGAGACACTTTGACCTCAAAAGAATAGCAGTAGCAGTTCTTAATTTGTAGTGAAGAAGAGGTTACAGGGAGGTGCTTTGTTTAATTTTAGAATTTTTTTTTATTTATTTATTTGTCTGGGGAGTGCTGTATTTATTAGGTCATAGACTTGTGTAGTGCTGGACAGCAGTTAACAGAGGTGAATACGACCATCCTCATCTGTGTTTTGTTTTTTTTAATAAAAGTCTGTGGTTCCATTTTTCGTCTGTCTCTTAAAAGCCCGTAAAATGCTACTTCTTGGTTCAACCCCCAAACACGACACGACAATCACATGCATCAACCGAGAAGTTGCGGTCTGTGACTCTGTACACTAACGTTTTTATCATTTCCTTTTATTATTTATGTTGAGTTCCGCTGTGAATATATCGTGTCCCTTGTGCGTACACTCAAGATGACTCGTTCCTTTCACCAAAGGATAAAAGAGCTTAGGATTCCATTGTGGCGAGTGACACGTGGCTGGTTGAATTCTTGTTATCACCATCTAATGCAGAATGTTTCAAAAACGTTTTTAAAAAAGTATAACTTTTTTTTATTATTTTAAATTAATATTTTATTATTATTTTTAAATTATTTTGATGCAATGATATCAAAAATAATTTTAAAAAATAAAAAAATTATTAACATATATTTTGACATAAAAAATTATTTGAAAAACAATCATATCTATATTATCAAATAAATCCTTTATATTCTACGTGGATGGTAGTGATTGTGTTAAATCTTATTTTTTGATGAATTCTTAATTTTTTTTTTAGTTTTTTAATTGCTTTAATATATTAATATTAAAAATAATTTTTTAAAAATATTATTTTTATATATAAAAATACTTTAAAAAATAATTTATACTATATTCTCAAGTATTAAGCACATGAATTGATAATTAATAAAAATTATCGAGTTTCACATATATAAGCCATCACAAATTAAAAATAAAAATTAAGATATTACTAGATATTATAACTTCATAATTTATAATCTTTGAATAAAAATGATTGCCGGTTAATCTATATAAGTGTTATTCCAAGATAAGATATTCTTTAACAAAGATGCTCTCAAGCTATTAGAGAGTTAAGCATCCTTTCCCATATTAATAACATTTTGTGGCGCAATACATGATTAATCAATACTTCTCAATCAATTTTCAAAAAGAAAAACATCATGGATAAAACTAGTTTAAAGCAAATATAGGATTTGTCTAATTAACTTTAATTTGGGTGTCTTTGACATAAATTCTCTAATGCATATAAACTAGATAGTGACATGAGATCGAGCTTATCTTTCAATCAAAATTACTAACACTAATCCCTCAAGCAATCAACGGATGACGTGTCTGCATCTCTCTCTTCGTATGGCTTTCATCCAAGACTTTATAATTATAATGCTGGTGGCTCCTATAAATGAATGCAAAGACAAGAAATCACTCACGCAATTTGTTTCTCAATTATTGCATTATTAGCTCCTATGGCATCTCCGAGAGGAAGGTTAATTTTGGAGCAATATAGCTGGGAAGTTCTTGGAAGGCACGTATTGTTACAATCTTGAACAGGAACGTAAACTCTTTAATAAAAAAATCAAAGGGTAAATATTAGCTGGATGCATGTCAAAGCATGCAAGACTCAACTATCTGGGTCTGGCTGGCTAGCATAAAGAAGTCTATATATATATATAATACTTGATGCATGACAACAGTACCGAAACTTTGGGTGGTTGTAATATCATAGAAAACGTATTGTTCTATGGTGCCTTTATTTCAAATGTTCCGGGTAAGTTGATGTATAAGATACAATGAATGCATAATTGGAGTTTGTGCCGCCGGTAATATATATTACCAGCCTCGCCTAGTGTACTCTATGACACGACAAACTACTCTTATTTATTCAATGGGCTGGAGGTGTGAAATTAAACAGCTTAGAGGTGGGAAATATATGGAGGCTAAAGCGATTTAAACCGCATCATGTATGAAATTAAATTTGAATTTAGTTAATAATTTATTATATTTACAAAATAAGACGCTAGATTATATAATTGAATTCGATTAAACTATTTGGAATACATCCATGTAAAAACAAATGTTTAGAATACCCATAAAAATAAACTAAATTAACAATCTTATAGTGATGTCGCCCATTGGCATATATATATATCCTTAAATTATGGAGTAGATAGTTACATGAAAGGAGCATATTTATAAATGAAGGACTGGTGGGCTGGGGTCTTTGGACGGAACCATTTCCAACTCTCTCCCTCAATAATTCCAAACCCCTGGGCTGGCCATGACTATGACCATTCCTTTGTTAATCTTTCTCGTAATATTGATTAATTAAATTAAACTGACCACATCTTGTGTCTTGTCAAATTCGTAATCTGGCTCTCAATGGGGTTAGCTTTGTTAGGTGAGGGCGGTTGACGGAGAAAGCTACAGCAACGGAGAGAGATCCTCGATGTTGTGATTTAAGCAATCAAACAATAAGAAGAACATGAGATAATAAAACTGTTACATATTTTAATTATGTTTTTCACGTTTCGAGTGCTTCGACAACTCCTGACAAACCATTTTGTGCAATTTTTTAAAAGCAAGCTGTTGTGTCAGGGACACTTATTAACTCTCGAAACTTCATACTTCTATTGCGAATAATGCTGGTACATTTATTCAATCCACGAGAGAGGTCAAAGAGCAACGTTGTTTTTCTTTGTTTATAACGTGGAAAGTTAAGGTGTTAAAATTAGATTCAGACACTATGTCATGAATTGTGTAATTAATTTTTTCTTTGTTTATAACGTGAGAAGTTAATAAATTATAATTAGATTTAAAAAATATTTATGTTTTTAGAAAAAAACAGATTCAACTCATTTACATAGACAGATACACTTGACTTTAGTCTTAGATCATGTATTTGAATTGAAATTTATTGTAAAATTGAACTTGAATTTCATGTATTTGAATTGAAATTTATTGTAAAATAATAAGCACAAAAATTGAACTTGAATTTGATTTTTGAAGAATTATTTCCCTTATTGTATTGTTTGATCCATCACATGAATGATAGAATATGATTATTTTATTTCTAGAATGAGTTTCTTTAAATGTGAACAATTTTTTCAGCTCTAAATACATTTGATTTTAATTTAAAAAAATATTCAAGTTTAATTCGGGTTTTATAGTGGTAATCAAAGTTATTAATAAAAAAATTCTATTACCTTTAGGTTTCTAAAATTTTTTATAAAAGAAAATTAGAGAAAAACATTTA